CATATCATATTCTAACTATTAAATTATCAAATGAACCCTTATTCTTTCACAAATGAATTAAGTGTCAAAACAATCTTCAATAATCTATTGTAACATTTTTCTTTGGTCTAAATGTTGTAAAGTCAAAATTAATAGAGTTCTAAATTTGACAACTACTATAGGTGTCTAGCCAATGAGAAGGATTAGAAAAAGATAAAGAGGAAGTAAGGGAGGAAAAAACTTCTCTAACTTTAGAGTCTCTCTTTCTAACTCCTTTATAATTTTTCTTAAAACATGAATTTATGAAGTTTACATCTTAAAAAAAATCTTATAGACTCTCTCTTGGATTATATTAACTTAATTTTGACTCAATTACCTCATAAACAACTTAGCTCTTAAAGATTCATTAACTCTCAGACTTCTAAAACAATAATACTAACAACAATAATAATCAATCATAAAATTAATCATATAATTAACCAAATAACTCAAAAACACATTGTTACACATGAAAATTATAATATTTACCATTATTAATTAAATCAATTTTAATTTTATTATATAATTAGCATTATCACTAATATTAATAAAGTAACACTAATAATATTATTAGTATATCAATAAATTAATTAATATTTGATAAATATAAGTTTATTAAAATATGATATAAATAGTTAAATATATATTTTAATGATTGAAATATATAAATCAGATGTTCAACATCAACATGAGTATCAATCGCCTCACACATATAACATTTAAGAACACTATTAATATTAATATATGCTACATAAATATATTAATAAAATAACAATACAAGTAATATTAGTTAATTGAAAACATATGAAATAAATATAAATTATAAAATATATAAATTAGATGTTCAACATCAACATGAATCTCAATCGCCTCGGTCATTATTTATTTAATTTAGTAAATATGTGTAATTTTCATTTGAATTAAGTTACATATATTATGCTGTTTATTTTATAAAAAAAATTAATTATAGTTTAATGATAAGGGTTATTATTAGAACTTAAAAAGCGGAAGAAGGAGAGAACTTTAAATTTATAAGAAATTGTATTTTACCTAAATCTAAATTAAAAAGAAAAGAAAAACAGAAGGGCTTTCGAATTTCATCATAATCATTATAATATACTGATTTTATGTCTTTATATTTAGTTAAAAATATTTTAAAATTATTAATGTTTGTTAAATCAATGTATCTAATTTTTCAATTCAAAATCTTGGGTTCAAATTTAAATAATTAATTTATTTTATATATTTTTGATTACTTAAAAATTTAAAAGTAAAACAGTCCCAAAATTTTATACACGAAAATAAAAAAATATTTTTATAAAATTAAATTAGACTCAAATATACTATTTTAAGACTTTATATAAAACTTGGAGTAAGAGGTCTCCCTTGACATCATTGCTTGTTTACCAATTCCTTCCAGTTTTACCACATTTTTTTACTTAAAATATAATCATTAAGAAAAACGTATTTTTTTTTTATTTTCAGAAATTAATTTGACTAGTCCGAAATTAATTTGAACAATCCCCACTTTGATTCCAGCCCCGTTAGCATAGCATCTCCGATCCGAGATAAGGGATTATTCCGTTAGGTCTTTTCGATCCGGAGCAGGCCGGTAATGGACCTTATATAGAGAGAGAAAGTGAGAGAGATGGGATTCATTTATTATAGAAGTAAGTTTACCTATATTTATTTCATTTAATAATTCGTGTTCTACATTAAATTTCAACGATCTAACCGTTAAATTTAAAGTTTTTAATTTATAAATCAAGTCTGCAAATTTAAAAAGAAATTAAAAATCATTTAATACTTTATTTCGTTAATTCAAATGGATGAATACTCAAAATCATTTTATACGTTGAATTGATTTAATAAAACAAAGTATCAAATAATTTTTAATTCTTTAAAAAATTTGCAGACGTAATCTATACATTAAGAACTTTAAATTTAACGGTTAGATTATTAAAAGTTAATGTAGAACATGAATTATTAAACAAAGTAAATCTAGGTAGACTTATTCTTAGAAACGGATCCCTTCTTTTATATATATATATATATATGAGGAAGGCTATAATAACACCGGTGTCACTTTTACTAAGTATTACACCTATCAATAACTTTATATTAAATGTAAATTTTGTAAATTTAACTCTTAGATTGAAATTTTTTTATCTTAGATCAAATATACAAAATTTTATATTAATCTAAGATGATTTGATACTTCATTCTTGTAAAATAAAATTGATGTAATATATACATTTTAAAATATACTAAAATATGAACACTTGATTATCTTCAAGTTGTTGTTTAATTTTAACAAAATTTGATATAAACATATAAAGTGATATAAACCTTCAATTTAACAGTTGAATTTACAAAATTCACATTTATTATAAAATTATTGAGCAATATAATACTTAGTAAAAATTACACCGATATTATTATAACCTTCATATATATATATATATATATATCATAAATCAATCTCAACAATATTATTAAAAAAAAACTCAATTATTTACCCGTTTAGCATTATTGGTATTCAAATGTTTTTACATAGAGTGAAGCTATTTCCTCCGAAAACGAAAAGCACCCGAAAGTTTCTCCGAATATACTGTAAAAAATTTATTTATATTTAATGTATTACACAATGCATTGTATCGGAATACATTTCGAAGATTACTTTCGGAGGATCTATCAGTTTTCTTTTACATAATAACCGAAGAACTGTTCTGTACTTCGAAAATTAACTCAGTTAAAGCTTAAACTTAAAATGTCTAGAACCTTGTAATTGTAACCCATACCAAAAACAAAAAAACGGTAATAATAAGAGACACATCTGAACAATTTCATGAGGAGTTTTTTGTCCTCATAGCTTTAAAGCCTTTAACTCTACATGGTTCGATTAAAGGGAATCACCGAATCAGGAGTTACTTAGACAGAGACGTGGCAAAGCACTAAGAAGCATCCAACATGCAAGTATTCACATTTCTCAACACCCTGTGATGTAACTAGTATCAAGTATATTATTAACTAGTACCACTAACTAAGAATCTTTTTGAATGGGGTACTTAAAAAGCAGAAACTAGATAATTAGATAGAGCAGCTAACAAGATTTAGAATTGTTTAGCTATAGTGTAGTTGAAGACAGTGAATATAACAACTTGGTGAAAGTTGATTGTGATTGTCATGTGTGATGAGTCATGAGTTGGCGGCCAATACTGACTCTCCAATGAGATTGAATCCCATTGATTGCATGCAATGGGAAAGGGTGGATGCGACAGGTGGAGAACCAACAAATGTAACCGACTGGAAAGGGGACTGTGTTTGATGAAAAACCAGGGAAAAAGACAGGGCGACCAAACCAATCCTCATAGGTGTTTTCATGCATGGCACTCTACACCACACGCGTTATCATGACAGACCCTTTTGCCACATTAACCCTCATTGGCTTAAATGCCCCTCACCAGTTACCTTTGACATTTTCACTCCTCACTTCTTAACACCTAAATAATTAAATACCTACTTTACACTCTTAATTTATGCCTAATCTCCATACTACCTACGTTCTTTAGATTCCAATTCATGTGTTCTTTAGATGTCTGTCTTTCCGATTGTCATATTCACATATCATCATGCCTGTTTCAACGTATTATTATACTTAACATAACATCTTTTCATAAAAAGTAATAATATTTTAGAGATGGAACTTACAAAAAAAAATTATATTTATATATTTTTTTAAAGATAGATGTTTTGAATTTTTAAGAATATAAAATGTAATTTTTAAATCATAAACTTTTTAAAAAAATTATATAAATATTAATATAAGATATTTTGTTTAAAAGGAATTTAAAATGAGAACTTTGTTAACCTTATCTTTGGAAAAGTCTTACATATTATCAATAATATCAATCAATTATTTCTTTTTAGATACTTAAAAATAAAATATTATGTTTACATTCTTAATTTGTGTGTATTTTTCTTTTTATATAGATTATATTAATCATTTAATTTTTCGATTTTATATCTCTTTTGAAATGTAGACGCCTCTTTAATGTGAGAAAATAATTTTTTTATTTATTTTCATTCTACCACTTTCTTTCTTTGTCTCTACAATAGTGGATGCAAAATGTACATAATCTTATATTCAAATTTATGTGTTTATATTGTATTTTTTATGGATTAAAACATGCCTATCTTTTTTATTTTCATATTGACGTTTCATTAATTATATAAATCACTTATTTCTTTTCAAATGCTTAAAAATGAAATATTTTGCTCACACTCTTGATTTGTCTATATCTCTCTCCTCGTCAAGTATATCATCGGTTATATCAACCACTTATTTTTCTCGGCTTCTATCTTTTTCAAAATGTAGACACCTCTTCAGTGTGAAAAGGAAAACCTTTTCCATTTCCCATTTTACTACTTACTTCCTTTGCCTCTATAATAGTGAATGAAGTAACATACATAGCAAATAGTCTTATATTCGAACTCATTTATTATCATTATATTTTTTATAAAATAAAAATATCTATTTTTTTACATATCATTAATCATACCAATTACTTATTTCTTTTTAAATACTCTGTTCACACTCTTAATTTGTACATATCTCTTTTTGTAACGTATGTCATCGATTATATCAATTACTTATTTTTCTCGACTTTCTATCTCTTTCGAGATGTAGACAGGTCTTTTGTGTGAAAAATGAATCTTTTGATTTCCCATTCTACCACTCCCTTCCTTTGTTCTTATCCAATACCACTCTCACCATGCATGGCCCCACTCTCACTGCCCAATCCCCACATGTCCTCCTTCATGAGTCTAGCCAACACGTACCCACCGTACAATTACAAGTGTCCTTTTCTCCTCCCTTCTCACTTCATGTTGCCTACCCCTCATTGGCCACTTCCCAATACTTGAATTCCACCAAACAAAATTCACTACTCACTCACCATAACCCTCCTTTATAACTCTCCCCCTCCACCCTCTTTCTCTCAACCATGTTCCCTTCTCATTGAGTGAGTACTCCCATTGCATGCACTACCAGTCAAGAACATTGGTTTAGTTCTACCTTTTGCTCAAGCCACCATGATCAAGACCTTGAACCCTTACCCCAATCCAGCAAAAACTGCTGAGATCATGTCCAGGTACAGGCCCATAGCCCCAAAGCCTGAAGCCTCCCCAAACACATCCATCACCGAGGGCTCTTCCTCTCTCTCTCAAAAGATCAAGCAATCTCCTTACCTTAGGAACCTCTGGCCACAGTTGCAAGCCAGGCCCACCAGAACCAGAAAGAGAGGTAGGGCTCCCTTGACACTGCCCTCTTCCTCCCTCAAGAGACAGAAAACACATGTCCTAGGTTTTTGTCCCCCTTGTCATGTAACATCCCCAGCAAAAACCCTCTCCTTGCAGAGTTTTCCTCCTCCTCCACCCCTCCCTCTTCATCACCCCAACCATGGACTTGGAGTGCTCAATTGCACCATGGACAACACCTCCTCCAATAATATACAACATAATCCAAGCTTGGTCACACTCCCTCTCCTTCCATGTTCTCCTTCTGCCATTTCCAATGTCCCTCCACCCAAATCAACCAAGCCTTCTGGGGAAGAGGCTATTAACGTTCTTGATTTGAACACCAAAGTTTGTGTTCCAGAAGAGAGGGATCTTCTGCAGCAGCTGCAGAAGCCAGTTTCCAACAATGTCATAACGCCTCAACCAGTTCGCCCTATTGGCTCAACCATAAGTGTGGTTTGCATCAGTGAAGACCTAACCCTGCCACCACTGGCTCGAACCCCAAAAAGGCCACATGAGGTTGAGCAAGATGTTGAGTCCGAGGCCATGCCAGCTGTCATATCAGACTCGAACCACCGGATCAGGATGGCCAATTCTGCGTACAAGGAGATGGTGGGTCAGCCACTGTGTCCATGGCTCGATGCCATGATGGTGAACGGTGGTGATGGAAGAAGCCCTCAATGCAAGAGGATCAGCGGTGAGGTAACACTGCATCTCAGTGACTCAATTATACCAACTTCATCAAACGGATTCTCTTGCTGGGTTAGGATTGAATGGCAGAGTCAACAAAAGAAGAACTGTGTTAACGCTTTCTGTGATGTTATGAAGCTGGCTTGTGAATCCAGGGACTACCTCTTCACGTGGAGGTTCCACACTCGCACCAGGGAAGCTTCTCAGTCAAGTTGCAACGCTTGAAATTAATTAGTATAAATTATGCTGTTATAGTCAATATTATTGCACATATAGCTCTAGCTAGCTAGGCTCTAGTGTGAGATGACTACCTTTCTTGTCTGCTTTCGATCGATACATATATGTACATGGTTTTTATAGTATTATTAGGGATCATCAAATATAGTTTTCTTTCATTAAAATGCATGTCTACAAGACTATGTGCTCAGAATATGTATCAGGAACCAAGCTATTTAGTATTTAGTAGTATTATTTCCTATATAAACTACATTTTCCATCTGCAAATTCTGGATTTTAACTTGTTAGTTTAAACTTTGAGATAAAAAAAATTATAAAAAAAAATCCCAAAATGGGGAAACTGCACCGTTTTTTCTGGCTTTTTAAGTTGTCTTTATTCAGAAAATTAATTAGGATGTAATAAAGAGGCTTGAAGCTGAGAAAAACAAGGTGTCGAGATAGAGACGCAACTGCTTCGGTTCGGTTTTTAAGGTCGTCTTCATCTGGACATGAGGGAGAAAATTTGGGGAATAGTGTGGAATTAATGCATGGGAGTATGATGGGAAAGTTAAAGAGAGGTTTTCATGATGCCCCAAGAAAATTAAGGATTTTAAGGAATTTGAGACGTGAAAGAGAGGATCTTAAAACATTCATGAGGAAGAGATATGTTTTGAATGTAATTTAAAACATTATTGAAGATAAGAGACCAGAAGAGAGGTTCTGAGAGAAAAAGAAGTTCTTACAATGTTGAGGAAGAGACACCGAGGAACCTGCGATGATATAACAGAAAGAGATGTTTTTAAAATGTGGATTGAGGAAGAGACACGTTTTAAACGAGCTTACACGTTTAAAACAATTTTAAAATATGGATGAAAAGACACGTTTTAGTCGTGTTTAAAACAGTGGTTAAAGAAATGACACGTGTTAAATACTTTCATTCCAAGTGGCGAATGAGCAATCTCCTCTTTAATTAGTTTATTTTAACGTGAAGAACCAAAGTTTAGTTTATGAACAAAGAAAATAATCTAATTATGAAGAATGAAAAATGTCTTCTTAAGTTTATGTTAATTGAAGAAAAATAAGTGAATGAACAAAGAATATAATCTAATTATGAAGAATGAGAATCTCCTCTTTAGTTTATGTCAACTTGAAGAAAAAAAAAGTGTATGAACAAAGAAAATAGTCTAATTATGAAGAATTTATGCGCAAAAAAATGTATGAGATCATGAGCAACAAGGAAAATAATTTAATTATGAAGTGTATGAAAAAGTGTGAAATCAAATAGTAACAAAGAAAATAATCTAATTATGAAGACAAGGAAAATAATTTAATTATGAAGTGTATGAAAAAGTGTGAAATCAAATAGTAACAAAGAAAATAATCTAATTATGAAGACGAAAAGTAATGCCAAAGAAAATAACTAGGGTATGAGATCATAAGCAATTTATGAAATGTATGAAAAAGTATATGAGATCAAGAATAACAAACAAAATAATCTAATCATGAAGAGGAAAAGTAATGGCTGTCAACAAGTATTCGGTTAATGTATTAGACGTATTAATTAATCTGTTTTACAATGGTAATAAATTATGAGAAAGAAAGAAAGTAATAAAGATACTATATTACAAATATTATTCATGTCTTATCTTTTATATTACAAATATTATTCATGTCTTATCTTTTGTTATTGGTTTGCAGCATAAATAGTACGAGTTTTTGTATCCAAAATTTGAATGAGTTTGAGTATCCAAAATTTGAATTCGAGTATGAAATAAATTATTTAGAATTTAAAATTTAAATTTGAATTTAATATAAAATAAATTATCCATCATTTTGAATTCTGATTTTAAATATAAAATAGATTATATTAGAAAGAAAATATTTATTTTGTGTACATTTACAATACTCAATGAAGAGGTGAATAATTCATCCCAATTATGTTTTCTTAAAGAAAATTTAAAAATTAATAAGATGGTAGTAATTAGTTCACATGATGTTGAACAAAAGCCTTCGCATTTACTACGTACTTCTCTATCAAGACCTGCTCACAAATGTGGACAAGGGGCTTTGCATTTGTAATGGATTATCCAACTTATTATGATATGAGGAAGGAAAATACTCTAATGAAAGGTACAAGTATTTTCGTAATAAAATAGCTCGCAAATAAAAATTGAAAAAGAAAAACACTAATAAAAGATACAAATATTTTCGTAATGAAATAGCATATTAAAATAGCTCACAAATGAAAATTAAAAAAATGGGTAATAGAATTTTCAGATATTTGTTCTTTTATTTTTTATTTTTTTTTTCTCCAATAGTGTTCGATTATACATGTTTTACCGTACACCAAATAGTGCATAAGTGACATTTAAGAGAAGCAGCTGAAAAGATTATTTTCTCATTACAATTTTATAAAATAAAAATAAAAAATTACCCACCTGAGTTACATTTCATTATTGTCTTTTTAATTTTAAAAATTATACTTTCTTTTCCTGAGATCAAGGCTATAATGTATAATAATATATTTTTATAATATATTTTCTAAAGTTTTACAAGGTTCATCTTGCTTCTATTACATAAATAAATATTGAGGAAATTGAGATCTAATAACTTACATATTTTATTTACTAAAATCTATATTTATATTATATATTTTCGATAAATTAATGTTAATACTATTATTATTTTACTAATATACATTTATGTAGAAGTATATATTCATATTAATAATGTTAGTAAATATTATATTTTTTTCGGACTGTTAGTAAATATTATAAGTATGAGGTGATTGAGATTATGTTCAACATCTAATTATCACTAAAATATGTATCTATATCATATTTTATAAAAATTTCTATTAATTAAATTATTAGTTTATCTATTCATATAATAATATCAATTATAAAATAAATTTAAATTTATTTATTTAATAATAGTAAATATTATAATTGTAACACCCAAAAAAAAATTAAAATATTAAAAGGATGTTTTAATTAATTAAATGAATTTTAAAAAATATTTTAGAGACTTTTAACAATTATGAATGTTTTTAATTCTACAATAAATGTTTGCAAAATAAAATTTGTAATATTTATCGGTGAAATATGTGTTTTTATGTTATTTTGTTATAGAAAGTATTTGGAGAAAATATGTGTTTTAATTAATTATGTAATTAAATATATTTTGAAAAATGTTTTATGTATTTTATTTTATTTATAATTATGTTAGAAAAAATATGTTTATTTTATATATTATTTATAAGTTTTAAATATTTTAAAAGAATGAGAGAGTAACCACGATTTAACTATTTTCTAATGGGTTAAATATGGGTAAAGGAGTCTTTTTTAGAAGTTAATGTTTGTTTTCCTTTTATGCTTTTCATCTTTTTTACACTTCTTTTTTGTGCTTTAAATAACTAGATGGAGATTAGGAAGACGATTGTAACACTATGTTTTCTTGAATTATTGAATTTTATCCATGCTTACGTGGTGTGTTGTTTTGGAGTGTTGTTAAGGAATACTAAGAGTTAAGGAATACTCCTAAAATGTGTTTGGGTGTTTAGAAAGTTTCTCTTAGTAGAGGTCTAGTTTGAACCTAAGAGAAGGATTATTTAAGATTTATTTATAGAATTGAACTTTATAAGTTTAGTCCTTGAGAAACTTAGAAAGTAGAGAGAAATACTCTGGAATCCTAAAGTTTTCCTTCTTCTTTCTAGACTCCTAGAGTACATAAAGGATTTTTGTTAAGCGTCTTGTTAGCGTGATTCGAAGTTGTGGTGTTGAGAATTGGAGTCGTGGAGTCTTCTAAGTGTTGCTTGGAGTTCTTTATGATTAACAAAGGATACAAGTCTTCAAAGAATACATCAACTAATGCTCCACAAAGGGTACAAGAGAGTCTCCAAAAGAGTCCACTCTCTTTCTCTATCCTAATTTGACCCCTCTCCACTTGATTAAGTGAGACATAATGGACTTATACAATTTGGGCCTGTTCTCCATATAGGAAAGGATTCCAAAACCCAATAGAGAGATCACCCCAAGGATTCACGTCTTTCATCAAGCATTCATCGAGGTAAGGGAGAGTGGGTAATCTCGTTCTAGGACATGGGATAATTGTTAGATAGTGAGGTTGACCCCTAACCTCTTTTTTAATATATGTGTTGTATGAAGGGAATTTCAATTCATATATGTTTATGATTTTTTGTCTCCTATATGATTCTTCAATTTTTGTATTGTCATTAATTATATATATTCATGGTTAATTTCATGTATTGACGTCTATTTAATGTATATGTGGTATGAAGGGATTTTCCCAAATGTTTTTCATTCTTCAATTTTAGTCTTCCTTATGATTCTTTCACTCTTATATTTATTGTAATTATGATTATCTATGGTTAATTTCGTGTATTGATATTTCTTTATATGATTTAATTTGCTCGTGGGTTTCTACAAAAACCCTAAGGGAATGCATTTGGATAATTGTATGAGAAGATGTTATGAGTATGCATTTATGTGAAACTGAGATTGGATTTGTGTAATTGAGATTGAATTTGTGTAATTATAGGTATAATAGACTAATATTAGGCTTTAATCTATGTTTTAATCAATTGGACTTGAAGAAAAGAGTTTGGATGTGAGTTATACTTGATTTTGAAAATTCCGGTATGAATATACCTTGGTATTTATGTTCTTTCTCTGTATATGATTAATGAAATTGATTTTTGATTGTTGGGTTAGAAAGTATACATTTGGGACTACATTTTACACACAAAAATTACATAAAAATGTTAAGAAATGAGTGGGTTATGTTAGTCACAAGATGAGTCTTAATTATATTATGTGCGCAAGATATAAAATCTAACACTTATAAGCATTGCGAGAGCCCATAAATGGCCGAATTAGGTTTCGTGTTACACATAATAGTTGTATGCTTATATGTTAGCTTTTGATGACACTATAATAACCCAAGAAAAAGGTCTAGAACTCAAGTTATGATAAAATTAGTGAGCAAAGGTCAGGCTATTAGGTTTAAGTTGAAATGCTACAGATATATAATTTTTAAAAATTGTATATAGGAAAGTTAACTCTTAATGTTACTGTAGAAGTTGTGGATAATTGTCTTAACTTGCTAATAAAATTAATATCAACATTATAACATATATATAGCTCTAGATACGATGTTTAAACCA